TCTGGCCGCCAGGGAAAGCGGAGAGCCCCAGCCGGGCTCTCCGCCCTGCTCCAGGCGCTCTGGCCGGTCGGGGACTGTAGCGCCCTCCCCTGACGCAAGGGGGGGTGGTGCGCGGCCGGTGGCTTTTTTGCCTAGGGTGGCAAAAAAGCCAGAGCCGGCCCTGTATAGGAGAGAACGGAGGCCTATGCGTGAATATGGAAATGCAATTTAATATTTTATTGAGCTGATTCAGAATGAAACAACAAAACAAAAAAATGATTTGGTTTCCTATTTGGGTTGGTCTGATCCAAAATAAAATATTTCATTTCCATTTTCTGCACAAATTGAGATTTTCCTATGGAAAGTTTCCATTTTGCAGAAATAGCATTTTCCATGAGAAAATAATTCAGATACAAAATTCCCGACCAACTCTAGTTGAAGTCAATGGGAGTTTTAGCAGTGACTTCAGTGGGAACAAGAGTATGTCAATGCTAAGCATTTTTGAGTAGATCAGTTGGCTATCAGTGTAGAGTTCTTTATAGAAGCATTCCCCCCCCCCCAACCCCCACCCCATAACATTAAACTGATCTAAGGACGTGTTGAAAAGACTGTCTTTTTATAAAGACAGCTAATAAAGAAGCTTAATTATATGGACGAAGAAGAAGTTGCCATTTATGCCGTACTTTCATACATATGCTCAGGTCTCATCCTGAAAACCTTACTCAAGCATGCAGCCATCCTGCAGTCAATGGGACTACTCCCATAAGAAAGGGTTGCATGATCATTCCCAAAACTAAAAAAGTTACTATATTCAAATATAATTAAAATGTGTATTGTCCTCAAAATACTATAGATATAATGGCTAAAAGTCACCCTATATAGACATTATAGGTCAAATCCTCCTGCTCTCTCTACTTATGAAAGTAGACCCTCTGGAGTTGATGTGCCTACTCACATTAGTTAGGCAAGTAGGATTTGGCTCTATTACTTATTAACCAGAAATCTTTTCATGCACACTTATTTTCTAATCATTTCCCCATTGTTTATTCTCTTTCCCTATGCTGAAGCCAGTGCCAGAGTGCAATCAGGTGACTGTTACAACTTGTTCTAGTCCATACGCGCAGGATCTAGGAATGTGAATCTGTTCTTAAATTTGCAAAACAGTGTTGCAACTGCTAAAATGTAAACAAATTATATTGCTCAATAGAAAACTGTAATTCTCTGCTCACCAAAGCATTTTGAAAGTTCATATACTCAGAAGCACTTCACACTCTGCCTAAATTTTGCTCATGCTGTATTTTGATCTGGATAATTCTGAAGCAAGTTCCAGTAATTAGTTGATCCATAACTTTTTTTAAAAAAGGTACTTTGCTTTAAAAACAGAAAAAAGAAAAAAAGCTATTTTGGTCCCAAGTCAGTAAAAGAATTGGTAAACTTAAAGATAATTTAAACATTCACTTACCTTTAAAATATGAATTAAATCCCTCAGGAGGATAAGTGAAATTTTCTCCTGTGCAGGGGCACAAAACAAGGCCTATACATTGGCATGAATTTTACTGTTTTCCCTGCAGCAGTAGATAGAGCTGACATCTAAAGCTGTCAGAAGAAATATAGCCCTCTGCTTTAGGTGCTAGTAATCATTTAGTGCAGAGAAAACACAGAAACCTGAAGGCCTGAACTTGGCAGGCAAAATGTCTCAGTTCACCTCTGCCAGGTCCTTATCTGTTGTTTTAAGTTGTCTGCACATGTAGCAATTATTTTTAAACTTTTCCATTTCACCTTTAATCTCAATAGCAGCTCTCCAGAGATCTGAAGTTACTGAAATAAATGCGGTTTACTTTTGATCTTTTCTTTTTTAATGTTTTGAGCAATGTTATTTAAATCCACAAGGGGGGAGGGAAGAGATTTCCCAGCAGTCTGCAGAATTAAATGTTTTGAGAAGCAAGAAGTACGGAAATGATGGGGTGGGCAGTGGTTGGGATGAGACATCAGTGCAAGAGTCACGGAATGAAAGCTTAACTTTCTTAATTTCTCTTTAGAGAGACAAGGGGGGTCAGGTAATATCTTTTATTGGATGAATTTCTGTTGGGAAAAGAGACAAGCTTTTGAGATGACACAGAGCAGTCATCCAATATGTAGTATCAAAAATCACAGGGTCTACTCCTTGCAAACACTTTCTACCAAGCGTAGCACTTACTAATTTGAGTAGTCCTGTTAGACTTTAATGGGACTACTCATGGCATTAAACACAAGCACTCATTATTATGCTGTTTTTCAGAATCAGGCCATCTAATTAAGTCTGTTACCTGTTTTGTTTTATGAATTAAGTTTGAAGCAGACAGACGTGCTTTTATCATCACTATTAATTCATTTGGCACGGAGCTGAGTAAAGACGACAGAGAGAAACTATATCCAACTTGTGGAAAACTTTATCCAGAAGGCTTACGCCTGCTGGCCAACGCAGAGGACTACGAGCAAGTGAAGTGTGTGGCAGATTACTATGCAGTATGTAAGATGTTTCAAATGTCTTCCAATGTTCCAGAATGTGGGTTCCAAGAAAAGCCCTGCACTACAAGATTAAAACATTTTAAAAAAAAGTTAAGTACACCTCTACCCCAGGATGCTGTCCTCGGGAGCCAAAAAATCTTACCGTGTTATAGGTGAAACTGCGTTATTTCGAACTTGCTGTGATCTGCCGGAGCGCGCAGCCCCGTCCCCCCGAAGCGCTGCTTTACCGAGTTATATCCAAATCCGTGTTATATCGGGACGCGTTATATCGGGGTAGAGGTGTATCCAACATAAGAATCAAATTTAAAGGATCCAAAACAAAAGTGTATTGAATCAAAGGCTTTCAGTACAAGAAATTGTGAACATTGAAGTTATTACATTAGTGTAGTACAAGGTGCCCATCACAGAGACATGAAAGTAGGGCCAAATCATACCTTCCTACAAGCAAAACTGTTCCCATACCACAAAGGTCCCAAGAAACACAGGTTCATTTTTTGGCAGTGAAGACAAGTCTGACATTTCTTGGCAGATTATGGTCCCTCCTCATCCCGAGGTAGTTCTGGTCCCCACTTATCCACCCCCATCCTGTAGGGACCCTGGGTCTCCCTCAGCCAGAGAGTTTTCCCTCTCTTTTACCTGCACAGTGCATGAGCCAGTACCGCCAGCAGTCGATTTCCCAGTGGATTCTCCTGCACTCTGCTGTACAGAAACAAGCTCCCCATGTGCCGGGCTGCAACATCATTTAGCCAAGTCACCCCTCTGTTTTAGGCAGAGCAGTGGTGGGGACAAATTTCACTGGTGTTGTGACCACGCACCTGGAGTGATGCTCCAGACTGCTCCAGCAGTAGCTGTACTGATTTAGCACAGGACCACTGCTTAAAAGTGATTGGGCTATCCCTCTCCAGTTCCACAGCCTACGGTACTTTGAGTAAGTGCAAAAACCTTGGGGTGTGGGGCTGCCTCCGCATCTGCAACCCTCCCCTAATTGGCACCACTGCTTCTCAGTTGTTACCTCAGGGAAGAGGAGTTTAGCTGCAGCATTCCAAACCTACAAATCATAGGGATTTACAGAAAAAGAGTCCAAGCCCACATAGAACCTCCCTGTCCACTGACAGCTCCTACACAAGTTGCACTGCCACTGGGGAGGCATGTCACCCATGCAAACACAAACGTTCTCTGTGAGGAGAGTGAAGCAACAGAGACTAAGTGAATGCTACTTGCAGCAGTCTTGATCGGTGTCTACACTGTGCTATGTCAGCGGGAGACGCTCTCCCATCGATGTAATGCATCTTATCCAGACGTGCTAAATTGGTGCCACTGCACTGATGTAGCAGCGCCGATTTAGCGTGGTAGTGAAGACAAGCCCTTCTTGAGTACAGATATCTCACCACTGCCAGAGGTGAGAATGTGGAGAACACATGCACAGAGAAGTGCATGGCTGTTCCCATTCTCATGCTGAGCCCTAGCACCACCAAGCTGCAGTAGGAGAGTTTCCACATGGTCTGAATCTAGAGGGGAAAACTATGTCACAGAACTTGCATTCTCTCCCTTTTCCTCCCCACTGTCATCCCATGTGAGTGCCATTTGATCAGCATCCCCCTTCTTTATACACACACACACACACCATGCGGGGCGATAGTTTTCCCCTTTTCTATCAGATCCTTGTAGTGAATTTTGTGGTTCAGCCTCCCTTTTGCAACACAAGTTGTATCACAAATTAATACACACAGATTGCACCCATACTTTGCATCTGCTAAATGAACTGTGAATGCAAGCATGATTTTTGTGCTTCTAGCTGCTTGACCTGCATTCTGAGGCTGCCTTTTTGAAAATGTGTTTTTAAGTCACTGAAGAAGTCCTGAAGTAAATGGGGTAGTTGTACTCACGCAGTAGCAAACCCCTTACAGTTCTCTCATTTAAATTGTGAAGTTCGGAGGGAAAGGGGGAGGAAAAACAAGGGCAAATGCCAGTATTTTTCTCTTTCAGTGCATATTTGCATGGTCCATGCATTCCAGACAACCAAGTACAATCTGCATGGGTTCCTATTTACAGAAAGGTTACTTAATACAGAGAAGGTTTGTTTGATTTTGATAAATAGGATGAATGAACATATTATTTCCCATTGGTGATGGTTTGTGCTTCTAGGAATACAAGGCTATGTTTGAAGGGGTAGGAAGTGGTACTGGAGAAAAGACACTGGAAGATGCATTTTTTGAACATGAGGTAAGACATTCCACCTCTAAATGTATTACTATCAAAACAATTTTACTCATCTGTGACAGGAAGTGGTGGTGGTCATTCAGTAGATAGCGCTATTTCTTCTGAGTCTGTACTGACCCAATAACTCAACATTGTGTTAGGACACACTGCACTGCTATAGCTGGCATATTTGGAGGAGACAAAACAGAGGGCTTCACTTTCTAAGTAAAACAAATGCCAGGGCACCCTTTGAAAGTGTGCGTATGCAGCTGTAAAGCCTCATGGTCTGGCCAAATTCCATCTCAAGCAATTATAAACCATTTACTGAAATTTCCTCTGCAATATCCATAGGAGACAGTATTCGTTTTCTGCCCTAAACTCTTGGATGATGTTTCTGTGGTCTGTTAAAGAGTTGCCACAATTAAACCAGACATAGCTGCATTTTGATCATGCTTTTAGTGGGCAGATCCCTAGTTATAGTTAGTTAAGTTTAGGATGACCAGATAGCAAGGGTGAAAAATTGGGACGGGGGTTGGGGGATAATTGGCACCTATAGAAGACAAAGCCCCAAATATCGGGACTGTCCCTATAAAATTGGGACATCTGGTCACCCTAGTTAAGTTTGTAAAGTGCTCTAGAATCCTATTCTTCTTTAATGCATTATTTTAAAGATAGTTCTGATTTAATGTTTTTCCTTAGGTAAAAATGAATGTGCTTGCCTTCAATAATCAGTTCCATTTTGGAGTGTTCTACGCTTATGTCAAGCTGAAGGAACAAGAAAGCAGAAATGTTGTCTGGATTGCTGAGTGCATTTCCCAGAGACATAGAACCAAAATTAACAACTACATACCTATTTTCTAATTCAGAGAATTTATAGTTCTAGAGTGCACAAACAGAAATAATTTGTGAATATTAAAGAAGAAAATTTTTAAAAAGTTTCTCAGATTTTACAAAATGTATTAATGGTCACCTTTATACATAGCACAATGGAAGCAAAACTATACTTGTATCTATGATCTTAATTCCCCCCCCCTTTATCTAATAATAATTGACTGAATCTTATTTTTAGCTGTCCCCGCCCCTGTGCTTGTTTTAATTTAGTTGGTCAATAAAAATTGCCAACAGGTTCCTGTTTGTTTATTCTTTACCTCCTGTGCCAATACAAGTGTCACATCTGTGTTTTGCACTAGTGGTTTTTGGAAATCTCATCAGAAGGTTTAATTTGGAACTAGCAGTTTTCTCAAAGGACATGGTTCAATACATGCCAGTAGAACCACCATTTCAATCCTAGAAGATCATAGTTAAGTGAAAATTAAGGGTTTCTTAATGCTGCTGTTACAAAGGATATGAAGAACTAACTGGGGGAATAGCGAGACAGACAAAACCTGTGAAAGTCCCCTTGCAGCTCTTCCGCCCCTTTCTTCCATCTAGGTAGGGTTGCCTACTTTCTAATAGCACAAAACCAAACAACCTTGCCCTGCCCCTTCTCTGAGGCCCCACCCCCCCGCCCCCCAGCCTCCCTCCCTCCATTGCTTGCTCTCCTCCACCCTCACTCACTTTCACTGGGCTGGGGCAGGGGGTTGCGGACTCCAGGGTAGGGCGAGAAATGAGGGGTTCAGGGTGCAGGAGCGGGCTCAGGGCTGGGGCAGGGGGTTGGGGCGCAGGCTCCAGCTGGGGGTGTGGGCTCTGGGGTGGGTTCGCAAATGAGGGATTTGGGGTGCAGGAGGGGCCTCAGGGCTTGGACGGGGGGGGGTCTGGGTGTGAGAGGGGGTGCAGGCTCCAGGAGGGGGCTATGGGCTGGGGTAGAGGATTGGGGTGCAGGAGGGGGTGCGGGATCTGGGAGGGGATTTGGGTGAGGGTGGGGGTATGACCTGGGGCAGAGGGTTGGGGTGCAGGGTCTGGAAGGCAGTTTGGGTGCAGGAGGGGGCTCCGACCTAGGCCAGAGGGTTCGGGGGTATGGGCTCCGGCTGGGCAGCGCTTGTCTCAGGCGGCTCCTGATCGGCAGCGCAGAGGGGCTAAGGCAGGCTCCCTGCTGGCCCTGGCTCTGCGCTGCTCCTGGAAGTGGCCGGCATGTCTGGCCCCTAGGCAGAGGTATGACCAGATGGCTCTGTGCAGTATGTACTGCTCGTGCAAGCATGTGCTGCCCCTGCAGCTCCCATTGATCGTGGTTCCTGGCCTATGGGAGCCGTGGAGCCGGCACTGGGGGCACGGGGCAGTGTGCAGAGCTTCCCTGATTGCCCCTGGACCTACGGGCTGCAGGGACATGCCGGCCACTTCTGGGAGCTGCGCGGAGCCAGAGCAGGCATGGAGCCTGTCTTAGCCCCACTGCGCTGCCAACCGGACCGTTAACGGACTGGTCAGCGGTGCTGACCGGAGCTGCCAGGGTCCCTTTTTGACCAGATGTTCCGGTCAAAAACCAGACGCCTGGCAACCCTACACCTAGGATGTGTGCACCAAACTTCACCAAATCCCACGGGCATGGAGCCAGTGGTGTAGAGGTCAAGAGACTGTAACCATGGGAGGCACTCAGATACCATGTGATAAGTACCATAGAAAAATCAAGATGATTATATAAATTCAAACTTCAGAAAAAAGAAAAATTCCTTGGAAAGCCATAACTTAGATAAACACCTCTTAAACTCCAGATGTAACTGATGAGTTAAATACCAGAACTTCCCATGCTGTTTTGGATACTTATGAATCGTACGGAAAACCAAAGATGTTAATGTACTGCATGAATCATAGTACAGAAGAATACTAATGCTTTACATTATTTTGTAATAACTTGAGTTGACAATTTTCTTTAGGAACATATTACAGTAGTAGGAATTTTTTAAAAAGCTTGTGATTAATGAGGAAATATAAGTCACTATTTAAAAGAAATTCACTATAAGTCTATTTGGTATCTCTGAACCACGTTATCTGGTAACCCTACATTATCAGGAAACAAATTAGTACTATAAAAAGACAATATGCTGACATGTTAGGGTTTTGTAGAATTATTATTCTATTTTTGGTATATGTAATTGTTTGCTTGCATTATTTTTACTATCTTGTTTTTGTAAATTTATATTTCCCACATTATGCTATGACCAAAACTTTCTAGTCTTACTAGTCTGCAGCTACATTACAAGTAATATAGGCAAAAAGAAGACTAAAATGTCTCCTATTTATGTTTCTCAATACTTTTTTGCTAATGGGAATTAAGGAGTTTATTTACAGTCTCATAATAAAGGATAAAAAATGCAGAGGACAAAATTAACAGGTTCATCATACTGGAACTAAAAGCAAATGAGTCTGCACTAATACTCAAATCCTCCCTGCTTGTACAAACTGAGTGAACAGGTTTTGTGCCGAGGTTTCTCTGAGGAGGTTGGAGAGGAAAGAATTCCCTCTCTACTTGAAGCCATTGGGTGCCAATGGAGGCAATACTTTGCTGCTAGAGAGTCTATGGATAGATGCAGGTGCATTAACTCCTGGTTTTTTTAATTTTAGGGTTGGGTGGGGGCTAGAGTTAAAATAATAATAGCTGTTGAATATTGCTTCCATAAGTAGTTTTGTACCTGGACTAAATTTGTCCACTTTTAATTAAGTGAGATTAAACCATCTTCTGTTCCAAGCTCAGTCTTTCTCTCTCTTTTTTTTAATGCAATCTTTAAATGCAAAGCAGGACTGATCCTTATGGAAAGCATATAGACTAACCTATGACTATACTTAAAACTGAAAGGATATTTCCCACTGGACAATTACCCACTGGACAATTAAGCCAGGTAATTCTGCCCTGAGTCTGTCAGTCTCAGAATGCCCAAATTCAAGACCTAAGACACAGAGAAGTTTGCTGAGCTAGCAAATCCATGTTGTTTGAATGGAGGTAGTAACTGGCCACCCATCTGACCTCACAGCAGAATCATGAAGCCTCCAACACTAAAAGTTAGATTCTTCTGCAATGATTTCAGAAGCAAGAGCAGCTGAGATCAAGCACAAGCCAATAACATCCTGTACCACCAGTTCTTCATCTTCAGCACAGGGAGTGGGAAGAAACTGAATAAAAGTAAATCAGAAAAAAAATAGATGGCAATAATACTTACAGGAAGCTTGGATCAGGCGACATGACATTGGAACAAACTAATTTCAGAGACAGAAATAGTCATTCAGTAAGAGAGAATGAACATTCTCCGATAGCAAGAAGAAAAATCCACACCACAGAACCACAGGAAGAGTAAGAAAAACCTCAAAGAAACCAGCTAAAATTTTTAAATTGAGAGTACACTTTGAGAAATATTCATGACAAATATTATGGGGTTTCATGTGTTTTGTGACTTTCAGATCAAATTCGCTCAGTTTACAAATAAAAGTATTTGTTACTATGAGCCACAGAAAGTCAAACTGTTCTGTCAGATTAGAACACATCAGATAACAATTCTGTATTTGGAACTTAATTGATGATTAAGTGTAAGCCAGAACAAAATCCATGTTACTCTCCCATAGTTATAGGAGTTCTGCAGCGCTAACAGGAGTAAAAAGAAGGAAAACTAACTGCCATTTAAGGTAAGTAGTGAGGAATTATAATAAATACAGGGCAAAGACCTGATTAGCAAAATGCCATTTGTATAGTGTCACTAAAAGATTCTTACTCCTGAGGGAATTCTATGCCACTGCATATGTGCAGACTTTATGTCCCTTGCAGATTTCTTTGCTTCCCCGCAGAAAAATGACTTGCTGATGGGGAAGCAAAGGGAAGCCACAAGAGCCGTCATGAGACCCTCCCCAGCAGTACGTTTCCCAGTATGGTGCCCAGGGCAGCTAGCAGAGAGGTAAATCACTGTGGGGCAGGAGGTGGAACTGGGGAAGACCTGGCTGGTGGCTCCTACCCTGCGCCGGACTCAGCTGCTAGTCCCGGCTGGGGAGGATAGGACTTCTTCCTCCCCTGCATGGCATCTGGGGCTGGGTCAGACCCACCCCAGATTTCTCCCCTGGCTGCAGGAAGCTCTACAAACTCTCTGTCCCCCGGCTTCCTGCACCCATTGCTCCTCAGCTGCATGGGGAGGGATCCCTGTACGGGGAGCTACACCCCCATCTGCCCAACCCCCATGCATCTAGACCCCCTTATACCCAAGCCCTCCCACAGAGCCTTATCTCCCTGCACCTCAACCACCCCAATGAGCCATCTGCACCCGGATCCCCACCCCACCAAGGCCCACCAAGTTGCACCTGTAACCCCACCCCACTGAGCCCCACTCCCCCAGCATCTGGACCCACCACTAAAGCCCCCACACGCAGACCCCCCTGCCAAGCTCTATCCCCCACATACCCAGCCCCTCCACTGAGCCCCAACCACCTTCACCTGGACCCCCCTGCAGAGTCCCATTACCATTGCACCCAGAACCCCCCAACAAGCCCCTGTGCATCCAGATTCCCCCTGCACCCAGATCCCCCACTGAGCTGTCCGCACCCAAATTGCCCCACACAGAACCCTCTCAACCCACACTTGGATCCCCCCACATTAAGCCCCTCCAAACTTGGATCCTGCCTTGCTGTGCCTGTCTGCCCACACAGAGGGGCAGGGCCCTGGGGTGTTTCTGGGGCAGGCCCAGTCCTTGCGCTGTGTCAGGATTGGGTGTAGCCTCGCCGCTTAGTTTGTGTCCTGGATGGGGACTAGCTGCACAGTGATCTCCCACCTCTGTGCAGCCAGTGGCCTGCCATGCTGGAGCCTCCACATCTATTTGACAAATAAAATTTGCAGAATTTTAATATATTGTGCGCAGAATTTTTATTTTTTTGGTGCAGAATGCCATCAGAAGAAAAAGATGTAGTTCTTTCAACTGAAACTCCATGACAGTAGTCTACTTATTAACCACCTA